GCTGACCTGTGATTGCGCCTACAGAATATTGGATGTAGCCTGTCAATCATCTTCCTGATTTGTGCCCGACAAATCTACCCAGCGTTGTTTTCAAGCCTTTAAGATATATTTAATACCATGACAACATCGGATACCAAGAAACAGTGAGAGAAAGTGAATCATGGGATCCATTAAGATGTCACGAATTCCTATGTGGTACCTGTGACTAAAATAGATTGGAGCACAGTTCCGAATTCCTATCACAAAACCCTTTGAAAGGTAAGAGGGGAGTAACAAAGTAAAGAAACCTAAACAGTTATATTCTTCTGTGACGATACTTTGAAGACGAATTTTCTTGGTTTCGCTCTCTTCGTGGCGTTACTTATAGCAGTTAACCTAGAAAGTCTTACTTGGGCTGCAATGAATCAGACGGAAACCCCAGGAAAAGACAAAAAGTGTGAGCATTATTTCTAATCCCCTCGCACACGCATACTGTATTTATTGGAGTGAGCGCCGTTCCCTAATAAGCGAACCGAGGATGTAACTCAAACGCTGTCAGAAGTGCAAAGTTTGTTCAAGACAGCCTTAGAAGATTCGTTTTTGGAGAAAGTTTTCTTCTCAGTTTCAAACGCTGTAGTTCTGAAATCAAAGGACACTGAGTAGTTACATTTATACTTTTGAAAACACAGCGCAAGCCTGTGCAAATGTAAACTTTGTGTTGGTCGTTGATTCGATTCCTATTTTAGATACAAAGGTACACTTCACATTTTTTAACTTTTTAATCGACAAATTTTTTTAACCACTACAGTAGAATGAAAGAGCCTATGACGCTCCTCAATTTTTACGAAAGTTGTTTTCAAGAATTTTTAGTAATTGAAAGCAAATGCTCAATTTTCAAGATAAGGAAAGAAACTGAAAATCTTTGTCGTCTTTGATGTACGCTCGATTGGCCATCTTAAGCCAAATTTAAAATTTGGCTTTTGTTTCGAATTTTCTTTCTTTTTGTTTCGAGGATGAGCAAATGTCTTCATTGAAGTAAGGTAAAAGTTCACCACGCATGGGAAAGCTGCATATGCTGGTCTTCAAAGAAGCTTTACGCCATTGGTTATTCCTAAGAAGAATGAAGAGGAAAAGAGGCTCTGTCTTCTAAATCGACAGTCAGTGTTCAATCTTAGCTTGCGCCTGCAACTCATATTTCGTCCTTTGTTAACATGGGATGCTTGTCAGTCCCTGAAGCACAAGATCTAAATGACAGAGTCTGTGTTCTGGGGGTGTTAGAAAGGACTTTGAGCAAAATTATTTTTTATCTGCGAGTCTCATAGATTGGCCTCTATCTGAAAGAGATTCCACTGTAAAAAGTTTCTTCAATTGTATCGAATTGATCAGAAACATCTACCAAGGAACAATGCCATCCCACTTTTCAACCCGATTAAAAGCCACAAAAGGTCCAAATGAGGTTTTATAGTTTTATAACCGCCATTGGCGCAATCTTGTTTGTCACAGATAACCATTAATGGTAAAATCAAGTACCGTAAGTATGTCGAAAATTTCTTTTCGATGGTTGTTTACAAATTGAATTCGTAGGGCCAATCATTTTTCAGAGTTTGAGGGAGATACGTTGACTGCTGACTCAGTTGAAGATTAAAGAAAAAGCTTAAAAGTGTTTTACAACAATTTCCGCAAAAGCTATTTATCAACCAACAGGTTTATTAAGGCAAAAAATTGCGAAGGTTAACAGCACCAGAATCGAAGTCAACTGGTTATTCAATTAGACTAAGTGTAATGAGATACCTTAAAAGCTCTTCTCTATTGCCTGAGGGCACATCCTTTGTTCCAAGTAGTCCTTTCAGCTTTTAAGAAATTTTTAATACCATGACAACATCGGATATCAAGAAACAGTTAGAGAAAGTCAGTGAACCATGCGATCCATTAAGATGCTTTGAATTCCTTTATGGTACCTGCGACGAAATAGATTGGGGGTCTGTTCAGAACTCCTATGACAAAACTCTCTTAAGTTGAGAAGTGCGTAACCTAGGGGAGACATCACAACAGCTGAGCGGTTAGGCTTAAACAGTTATACTCTTTTGTGATACTTTGAAGATGAATTTTCTTGGTTTCGCTTTCCCCGTGGTGT